CGGCGAGGCGGGGGATTCTCACGGGTTGGGGCGCTGCCAGTCGCCAGCGCTGTGCTGGACGCTCCCGCCAGAGGGGTTTCCCCGGGACCCCCGCGGTCCTCTCGAGGAAAAGCCACCCCTGTCTCCACCTCTGCCTCCCATCCGGCCCATGGGGCCGCTTGGGCCACCGGGCCCCCCTGGGCCGCCGGGTCCCCCTGGACCTGCAAGGAAAGCTCCGTTAATGCCAGAGGACGCCGGCCACAGGCGCCACAGCTCTGGCTGTGCCCTTCGGGGGCCTGAAGGGGGTGGACGTTACCTCCGCGGAGCGGGGGCGGCATTCCCCGCTGCTCTCGGGGGGGCATCCCGCCTCGCATGCTGTTCATCGGGCCCTTCTTCCGTGCCAGGGTAACTTTGAGCTTGCTGCCCTGGAAATCCTTCCCTGGGAGGGGCACAAGGGAAGAGCATCACCCGGTGCTGCCAGCGCTCCCCGCTCAGCGCCCTCGGTGCCACACGACCCAACCAAGTCACTGATCGCAGGGAAAACGTGGCCCGAGCGCTGAAGACGGCAGAAGGGGAAAACTCAACCCATGGGGCTGAGACAAACGCCCAAGCCCGGGCAACTGCGGAGAGAGCCAACCCCAGCACCATGCTTGTCTCTTCCAGTTAAAACCAGCAACTTAGGCACAAGCTTGACCACCCAGAGCTGGCCTAAAACGTTCTCCCCGCACCGATAAGGGAAATGTTGACTTCGGTGGAACAAGAATCTGGGTGTGAAATCCAGAACTGAGCCGTGCCACCCCACCCCACCCCCTGTGCACTCACCATCAAACCACTCGACAGCTGTTTTGGCGGTGGACGGGTCATCGTAAGACACCGTGGCGTCTCCTTTCGGTTTGCCAGTTTCTTTGTCGATGTAGAGGTTTATCATGGGCTGCCCAGTCCTCTTGTTCATCTGGCAGGACAGCAAAACGTCACCTCGAGTCCCACCTGCCCGTGAGCTGAGTGAGGATTCACTCTCCTCTGTTCTGTTTTGGACTCGAAACAACCGAGTCTCATTTTGGCAACTCCAGGGCAGAAGCGGCCCCTCTGCCTTACCACGGGTGGCAGCTACTGCCCAGACAACCCAGCAAATGAAGGAAGGGGCCCAGACCAGCGCTGCCAGCACAACCGGCCTCTCCTGTGCGCGCCTGGCAGCGCAGGAGCTGAGCCGCAGCCTCCCCACATCCTCCTCCCCCCTCCCCGCCACCTCTGTCGCACAGCGGCGGCACAGCCGCAGAGCTTGGCTTCCTCCACGGCCGCAAGCGCTGGCGTCTCCATAAGCCCGCTCGCGCTGCTCCCCAAACCGGCCAAGGTTTTGGGATGGCCTGAGCTACACAGCTGTGCTCATCCTACTGCCCCCGCTGCCACCTCCTGGAAACGAGGGGCTGCAGGGAGATGAGTGACGTGCAGGCAGGGAGGAAGTGGGCAAACCTTCTCCCCGTGTCCCACCAGCTGGAGGGCGACCCGGGCTCCTCCTCACCTTGACAACACCGCACTGTTTGAAGAAATCTGCCAGATCCTCCAGGGTCACGTTATCATTGAGTCCCTGCACGTAAACGGAACTGTTGTCCGAGTCCTCATCTGGGTCCAGAGGTGGGCCTAGGAGAGAGTTCACACTGCGGGGTGAGGAACGGCAGCGATACCACACAACGGAGAACTTCTCATCACGTCACCCCCTCAGCCAGCTGCGGCTTCGCTCTCAATGAGCGCATTTACAGAGCGACCCAAAACCCCGGGTGCCGAGCGGGACGATGCTCCACTGCCTCCACGCTGCCCCCGCCGGACGCCCACCCAGTTAAACCGCTCGGCTGCACTCGGGGACGGCCTAAACAAGGCACGAGGAAGCCCCTGGTGTCCTTTGGGCTCTCACACGCGGACATCCACCCCCCTCACTGCGCTAACCCCCCCTTTCCGCAAGGCGCCGGTGCTGGGAGGCTGACGCACAACTTCCAGACACGCCTGTGCAACAGGAAGGAAAGGCCAGGGCTGGCACACGGGGAGGCTGCTGGAGCCGTGCGAGAGCTCCCGGCTAAGGCTGCCTGGAAAGAGCATTCTGCTGGACCAAGCAGCCGCGCAGCAGCTCCCCCAAAGCCCCCCCCACTCCCGCAGAGAAGGGTAAGCGTCTCCCAGACACGTGGGGTCTCTCACCACTCCACGATGCTCTGACCAATTGGGATTTTAAAAATAAAACCGATGCGACGGCCAGAGCCCGCAAACAGCGGAGCACCCCAGTGCTCCCACAGAAGGATGAGCTGCGGGGCCACATCTCCCGTGGCCACAGCCCGAGCACAGAAGTCTCAGTCTCACAAAGAACTGGAGCAGTCATTGGCAATTACCTAGGTCAAGGTCCGGTCCTTCCTCCATGTGTCCTGCCAGGCGGGAGAGAACCGTGAGAAGCTGTGTTAGTGCACGCCTTGCGGGCTGCAGAACCGACACACACAACACTATCTACTGACAACCACCGTTCGATGGCGCTGGTTAAACCAAACTGACCTGCACTGCAAAAACAGCAGCAATGCACCTTTCACTTGGTGACGCTTCGCTGTTTCTTAGCAGCCTTTCAAACCATTAACCACTATTACACGTTTTTTAATAATGCTTTACCAGGCCAATCGGTTTTACGTTCGTTAATAAAAAGTTACTTTACAAAAAATTTATTAAATCCAAACCATTTCTTTTTCCCCAAATTACAGAAGTGGTTGCTCAACTCTTCCAAGTCACCCTGTGTCCTGGAACCGCATACCCCTAGGCATTGCCGGCAGTACCCATTACAGTCTTGTTGCATTTTAACCACTTAAAACGAATAAAAATTACACTTTGTTCTAAAAACTGACCGCCAGTTTTTTTTTTAACACTATCCATTGTAATGCTCAAAAACTTACCACCAGGCTTATTGAAGCCACCTCGCTCTCCAGCGCTGCTGGGGGGATAAACGAAGAAATGAAGGCCTTTCCCTTTACAAAGCCAGTACCGCTCTGAGCCTCTGCGGCTCACTGGGAAGAAGGGCACTGGCTAAACATCTCCAAACAATGCATCTGTCTCTCTCTCTCTCATCTCGGCACTATGCCTTTCTTCAGGGCAGCTCGCTCAAATTTCCTTTACATATACGCAACCTCGCTTGTCTGGTTTTAGACACCACTTTGCTGTCGGTTCCCTTGCGTTACTCGTACGGGTATTATCAGTGCAATACTTGGCCAAAAAAAGGAATGTTTCTGAGCGTTAAAAATTGGGCTTTCGCTTGAGAGAAATAGCGGGGTCACGTCAGTGGTCAACTCCCTCCCCTCCGTGTGTACACAGAGCTGCACCCTCAGCCTCTCGCAGCACGAGCGCGAAACGAGCCCGCGGGTCCCTGACATTAACAGTTCAAAAGGGAGGAGACAGCCACACGCGATACCTACAACACAGTTCAGATGACATTTCCGCTAAAATCCTCGGTATAAAGCCATACATTCAGGTCGCTACTGAATTTAACAAGTCTCTGCGGAGGGAGGACTTACAGAATACAGCGGGGGCTCGAAGGCCTGGGGTGCAGCTTTGTGGACACAGACCAGAACAGCAGATTTCGCCACGCGCCAATGCAAACTCACGGCCGCAGCTTTCGTCGAAAGCTTTGGTTGAGGCGTTCAGCTAAGGCTGTTTTCAAGCACTGCTTAATTAGGAAAGTGCCACCGGGAAAGGATTTTGATGTTTCTTGCTCTTTTTTTCTTTTTTTTTGAGAGACAAGCAGCAGTTTGGAAGGAGACAAGCAGAGGAGGGAGAGCACCGCCTGTTTTCTAGCAAGTATTGCACCTCTAATACTGGAAAAAAAAAGTGGTCAATACAGAGTTTCAAGCTGTTGCATGCAGCTCTGCCTCCTTTCGTTAAAGTACACACCATTTACGCAATGTCTCTCTTTAAACACACACGTTTACACTTTTTAACGTTACACAATTCTAAAGCAGTACACCTCCTCTGGCTTTATTACCAAACAACAAGTATGCAGTTACCAAAGTTACAGAAGGATTCCATTTATACAATGAATACATTTGGTTAAAAATATTCTATGTATATTTTTCCTCTCCATATGGACACCGTGTCTAGTCCCACTTTTCATTATGCTGCCGGCTGAGTACTGAGTACGGGTACTTTTTAAGTATTGCAGTGTATACAAGGCTCTCACTTTGTAACCTGTAGCATATAAATGCGACAAAGCATGTTAAAAAGTTTCCATGTTTAACAGCCAATGAAAATATAAAATAACTGAGTCAATGAAAAAGGGCACGTTAATAACATCGAGCTCCTTACCTGCCGGAGACACTGAAATCCATCACCACAGCATGATAAGAAGGGCCGAGTTCCCCTACCTGCCCCTTGGCGTTCAAAGGACGGCCGCCTTTTCTATGGACAGCAGAAAGTCTACGTCCATAAAGCAGGGGACCCTTTGTAACGGTCAAGTCAGGTGGAAATCACTACGTACGCAATTTAAGCTCGGATTAAGGTGTGAAATCAGACAGAGATGACAAATCTTTTGCATGAGAAGCTCCGAAGGGGCTAGAAATTTTAAGATGTGATGATAGACATTTCAAGTGTCTACATCTACTTCAGACCATTAGAGATAAACACGTCGTGGGTGAAATCTTTATGCAGAACCAGGGAACACTGTCCCACTCGAGCCAATTCAAGCCGGGTGCTCTGGCACAAGCCAGTCTTTTTTCTTCCATTTCCACACAGCGGGAGTTGGATTTCTCCGATAAAGATTTCACGCCACTTCAATTCATTTCGACAGAGCTATGCAGAATGGGACCATCGACTGCCAAACTCCGGTTGCCTCCAGGCTGTAAAACACCTTCAGGAGTTGCCCGAGACGAAGCTGCAGTGCCGGCTGCCTTGCCAAGCACCAGCGCAGCGCAGCCCAGGCCACGGCTCCGACACACACCTCAGGACACTCTGCATAGCTCTGACCGACGGTGTGAAGGGATGAACACACACAAAGCTCCCCCTGCCTCCTCTTAGGAGCCTCTGGGATTAGCCCTCCTTCCTCACCACTAGCAAAACAAACATCACGTCAGGGACACACGCTGCTGACCTGAAGACTTAGGTTTACCAAACCAGATTTTGCCATCAGTTAAAATGGCCAAACTGGTTTAGACCACCTGAAAGCTCCAAGGGGGAGCAGTAAGATCCCTTTACTTTCTCGGGGTTTTCCTTCATGCTCCAACCAAGCTCTGAGTGTTCTGGGCACTCAGAGTCAAGGCTGTGACAGCAGCGATCTGCTCCAGGC